GTCTGTGATTTTTTAAAAAGTTTCTGGGAATCTTGTTTTTTGTGAAGGAAGAAGTTCCTACTGCTAAGAGTGCTCATAACATGTTTTTTTAACTCATATAAAAGCTGTACAGCTTTATGACTATGCAGACAAGATTATTTTTAACAGCAAGGGCTGCCTATTCATGAAAAAATTTGGAGTAACCCAGAGACTAGTTCCTAACAACCCTCTGATTGCTGTGTCTTTGACTCTTCATCTGTTCTAATAACTACTTTCCTTCTCACATTTACATGATGTTTTAAATTACATTATGGTTAACAAGATCATATGGAATTTGGTAATCAACAACTTCATACTTTATTAGATTTTGCCTTCATTAGATTAATACAAAGAATAATTAATTGTTGATTAAATGGGAAAGTAGAGTAACCCTACTGATCACAAAGGTTAGCTAGCAGAATATTTATAAGCAATTATTATTTACAACAATAAGATAAGAAGTTCCTATTAGTAAGCATCAGTAGAAGTGGAGAGAAAGTTTTTTGAAAAATTGAAATGCTTACCTAAACTTAGATTTAGAAATCCGGTGCCTGAAAGGGAAAACAAATTATTTTAGTGTATCATAAATACATGCTGTAACTTTTTAACTTCAACATAATTAAAAAAAAGAATGAGCTATAGAGCTATTAAAAATTAGCATTGCTAATATTTGGCCTAACACCTAAATATTTCAGTGTAACTAATTTCTGCTTATGCATCATATTTAAAAGGGTGTCTGCTGGGGGAGGGGGGAAGTTATACTGTATGTTATGATGTCATCACACAAGGGGGGAAGTTATGTGTGTTATGATGTCATCACACAAATTACATTAATTCACATCATTAGGCATGTGACATCGTCATGGTTTTCGTTGGACACCTATGTATATTAACAACATTCAGCCATGTCAGACTGTTAATATACATAGTGTGAAGCTCTTTTCTTGCAAGGCAAATACCGATCCTCTAGATTTGGAAGCTACACATGACCAGCTGGTAGCAAAGAAACAGGCAGAATCGGCAACTATGTGAGCCACTGTTATAGAACAAATATGATGAGCAACCAAGCTAAAAGTGGTCTTGAACTGTCTTTAAAAATACTATAATATAAGCACTATGGCAAATCTGGCAAGCTCCCAGAAACAAGTTAACTGAATTCCAAGCCACTTACTGTCCCTATGTGGGTTAGTTTTTAAAGAAAAATATCTATGTTTGCTAGATTTTGAACATGATTTAATATACTGAAATTTTGGAGAATGGAATCTGATGATTCGGAAAAAGAGAGGGTAATGTTGGTATGTTATTTGATCACCAAATGTTCAGATGGAGAAAAGAACATTAAGTCACAAATAGGGAGAAGAAATATGTCTTTAGTAGTTAATTTTAAAAAAAAAAGTCAGATATCATGAAAAACAAAGTGTTTGTTTTAAAAAATCAAACCAGAAGCAAGTTCCCATTATTGCCTATTGTCTTTTGATGTGAAACTTTCAAAATTCATTATAGTAGCTTTACAGACCATTCACTAATTGATTATATACCATCAAGTTGGTGTCAACTTTTAGTGACCACATAATTTTTTTCCAAGATGATCTGTCTCCAGTCTGGTCCTCCAGGTCTTTCAGTGATACACCTATCACTGCTATAATTGAGTCCATCCACCTTGCTGCTGATTGTCCTCTTCCCTTTCCTTCCATCTTCCCAACACTATTGATCTCTAGAGAGCTAGATCTTTGCATAATGTGTCTAAAATATGATAATTTGAGTCTGCTCATTTGTGCCTTGAGTGAGAACTCTGGGTTGATTTGTTTGAAGATCCATTTGTTTGTTTTCTTGGCTATCCATGGTATTCTGAGGAGTCTTCTCCAGCATCAATGTTCAAAGGTGCCAATACTCTTTCTATCCTGCTTCTTCAGAGTCCAGCTTTCACTTCCATAGACTGTCACAGGGAAAACCATTACTTGCACAATTTTTATCTCTGTAGGTACAGACACATCATGGCATCTGAACACCTTTTCTAAGACGTATATTGCTACCCTCCTAAGTGTTAGTCTGCAACATATATCTTGACTGCTGGTTCCTTTATTGCTGATAGTAAATCCTAAAAGGCAGAAACTATCCACCAGTTCAATATTTTTATTGTCAGTTCTAAAGCTGGTTGTTGTGGCTGTTGTCATCCTTTATATTTAATCTTAGCCTCAGTTTTTCACTTGACTTTCATTACTAGAAATTCCACATCATGTGCATTTTCAGCTATCAGTGTAATGTCATCAGCATAGTGCAGGTTATTGATGATTCTTCCTCCAGTTTTAAAACATGGTCATCTTCCAATCCAGCTTCCTTCAGTATATATTCAGCATAGAGATAAAATAGAGAGTATACAATCTTGGCTCATTCCTTTGCCAAACTGGAGCCATCTGTTTTGCCATTTTCCATCTGGACTGTGGCTTCCTCACATGAGGATAATTAGATGTCCTTGGATTTTCATTTTCCTAAGGACATTCCACAGCTTGACATGGGCAACACAATCAGAGGTTTTTATATAATCAATGAAACACACATTATCTTCTTCTTGGTAATCTTTGGCTTTCTCAATTATGCACTGAACATCCACAATAATGTTTCTTGTTCCTTGGTCTTTTCTAAAGCCATCTTGAACATCTGGCCTTTTCTGAACATCTGGCATCTCCCTTTCCAGGGAGGGCTCTAATCTGTGTTGGATGATCCTAAGCATTATTTTGCTATCATGAGAAATTAAGGATATTGTTCAATAGTTTACACATAGAGTTAAATCTCTTTTGTTATTCTTCAAATCTGTTTGCCACTGGGTCATCCCCAAATTTGCTCGCATAATCTGGTTGGAACCATTACAGATTCTTTTCATATTTCTGTATATATTCTATCAATTCTTGTAGCCTTCCAACTTAGTAATGACTGGAGTGCTGTTCTAACTTCATCTTTTATAAGTTCTAGAGGTTCTTTTAAGTAGGGAATATCTTCTAAGATATCTTGGGTGTTGACATCTCTACTGTACACAATTTCACTATACTCCTTCCATCTTTGAATCAGTTACTACCTGTCAATTTGTGTCCTGCTTCAGGTTTCAACCATGCACACTCACACATGGTTGCTTATGGAGTTAGCAATTTTACTCCAAGGCTGAAGAGATAACAGTGAACAAAGGAGTGTAAACAAAACTGAGGCTTGCCTGGAGAGTTTTCTTTCTAAATAGGAGCACATAGAAGTGTAGTTCAAATCCAGGGTTCCGACAGTCAGGTCAGGGTTGTCAGCCAGTCCAGAGGTTTAAGGTTTCAAACACAGACAGGATTTACAAGAATGTTATGCAAGAGCCGGAGGTCAGATGGTGTTTCCAGCAAAGACAGCATGGCTCAGAGCTGCTTCTTAAATAAAGTTGCAGCCAGCTGTTGCTAATCAGGAGATTTACTCCCTTGTTTGGTGAGAAGCTTAATAGACCTTTGCTGCCCTGCTCTCTTCTCTACTCATCAGGTGTGGGGGCTGGAAGGCCTTACATCATCTTCATCTGTCTTCTCCAGCTGCTCAGGTGGTGCCTGTGTTTGATCAGCCTCATGGGATTCTTGGCTTTGTCTCTCCTGAGGCTGACATTCCACAGGTTCAGCTGGAGCAGCTTCTTCAGGGTCAGAGTCAGAATCTGAGTCCTGAGCCAACAATTTGTGTTCTTTAGCATACCAAATTTGAGGATGGATTGGAATCTCCTTCTGAGTTCGGAGATGTTTTGGAAGACTTTCCTTGTTTTTCCATGTCTGTTTCAGTATCTTTACAGGTGTTGTGATACCACTTCATGTCTCTTCAGCTCTGTGAAATTCTTTGTTATGTTCCTTCCTGTGAACTCTGTTTCTCAGCTTTGGCTTCTCTTTCCTTTTTGGCAATTTCCACCATACCTTATGATATCCAGTTTGCTTTCTTTTGTTTCTTGGTCTTAGTCAGTGTGTTTTCACATTTATCCTTATCACCTTCTTTGATTTAATTCCATAGTTCCTCTGGTTTCTTATCAATGAGGTTCACAACTTCAAATCAATTCCTGATAGTCTCCTTAAAAATGGTTGGTTGTTCAAGATCATACTGTGGAAACTGGAACATTATCATAAGATTACTTTATTCACTGTATATGGATAGAAGAATTCAGAAAATCATGGAGAATAGAAGCATTTTACAGTCTCTGTTCTGGACTGTCAGTATATTTCTTTTTTTAAAAAAAGTGCAGGTTTATGAAAAATTCTCTACATAAGCCTTAAACTGTTGCTATGTTGGAATGGAGTGAGAGAGGAAAGGAAGAGTAAATGGATCAATGTTCAAGTATATCCTACCATGATCTGCCAACTTGTGGAATGAATGTTGTGGATGCTACATTGCAATCTTTGGGATATGAGGTAATAGAAAACAAGGATCAGGTCTGTATATAGCAAAATCAAAGAAAGACGCAAGCAGGCTGTCAGGCAGAGATTTGGAAATAGACGTGTTCAAAGAGAAAAAAAAGAAAATTGGTAGTCATCCATAAAAAAGATGGGGAAACATTGGGGGCATAAATAGAATTGGATTAACAAATTAATCTTCAGGGGCCTCTACTGATAGTTGTAAGTAGCATTCTTTTAACCAAAAAGTGCCTTAGAACTGGATTGTCATCTCTTTCTCTACCAGTTCAAGAAATAACTATATATTTTGAAGCTGCTTAATGAAGTTCAATTAATTCAGTTATACTCCAGCTAAAAACAGAAGGTAGAATGGATATGATGATGCCGCTGAAGAGGTGGAAAGAGCTTTCACTATTGTACTTGTGCAGAAAATATGTAAAAATATTCTGAAACAGGCTCCTTTAACAGGAGTAAGAATTCTTTTTTGTATTGTTGCACTGCGGGAGAGAATAGATCAGAGAACTCTAAAAACATCCATCAAAATTATCAGGCCCTAGAGACACTTTAAAATTTTAAACTGGTCCTCATTAGAAAAATGAAATTAAAATCATTCACTGCCCCACTGGTGAATGTAATGTGACTTTTTTTCTTTGCATCAAGGCAGCTGAGTAGCATTTTGAAAATCTTTTTATCTAATTAAGCTAATAGATGTGACTGTTATTCCACTTTACATGCATATCTTGGGTGAATTAAAAGCTGCAGCTAACCCTCTCCACCATGCCAACAGGTTATTTAATAATCCCCACTCTCCCCAGCTTTACATATGCAGCCCTGACACTTTTTGTCTGCTTCTCTCAGTGAAATTTCTCACAAAACTGTTGGGTACAGCTAAGACCATTCAGTAAAACTGTAGCAGTCATATGTTTGGTGGGTTATCTAGTACCTTCAGGGATGGACGGTCCATCTCACACAATGTTTATGAATTATGGAAAGTAGGATGCTGGAATAAATCAATTGTTAGTACAATCAGAATGGTCTCTGTAGCCCTTCAGAAATAATTGCTTTTGGAGTATGTGGGGACACCAGAAACTTCTTTTCCTGGGACTGTGAGACTGCAGATTGAATCCAAAGCTTTGCATAGTCCTAGTCCTTTTTATCTAGTC